ACAGTTTTGCTCCCGTGCTACGATGAAATCTCACGGCGAGAGCTACACGGCCCTCGTATTTGTTTAAATGTAATTTCTAAAAACTGAAACTAAGCTTGTGTATGATTGTTGACCACATCTACCTAGTAATTACCCTTCCAACGATGCCACGAACAAATTTTCAATTATTTACATCGTAATTCAGTAACATTCTATTATTTAATGAGGGCTAATAATTTTCCACTCACCAGATGTCGCTAGTTGTGACTGAGGTAAAGTTTTTCGTTACATAGTGTCAGTTAATTGAGAAATTAGTTTTAAATAATAGTTTATCATTATCTAGAGTATTATATTAATATACAACACTGAGTCAGTGGTTTGATTTTTAATTTTTTGCACTTTATAACCTTTTTTTTAATTTTTCTACTTTAAGTTATATTTATAGTTTGGTTTATTCATTTCTAATGTAATTAATATAATTTTTTTTTTGTCAAGCTACATCATGAGATGGTCAACAAACAATGCTAAATATCATGAAATGACCACACCATTTCACGAAATGATAGACTACTTTATGATAGGTATATGATCAATTCTACAATCTGGTCACGACATATATAAAAATATATTTAATAAAGCTATAAAGATAATGAAAATTTTGCAATAATTGCAAACAGACCAGTTTTAATCAGTTTACATATAGATTAGTATAATTGAAATAAAAACCTTATCAATTTTCATATTTTTGATAGATGTCACTATTATCTATTAACATTATTACACTTTTAAAATAAAATAACAAAAATACTAAAAAACTAAACGTTACAATTTTTAAATAACTTTAAAAATCTTATTATCTAAACATATACATATTTTTATTTATATTATTTAATTTATTGGTAACTGAAGGCAAAACATACTAATTTTTCTATTTGATGATAGATGGCGCTATTTTCATAACTACATCGGTGTATTTTACCAAGTTTATAACTATATTTTAAACTTTATTTATAAATTATTTATAAATATGCTATATGGTATTATTAATATTTGATTTATAAATATTTGAAAAACACCCGTTATCCCGCCTATAACTAATATGTAATAGAAAATTAACATTTAAAGGAAGGAAAATACTTAACCTTGTTTTTTTGCAGTTCCGTAATCGGATAAAAAGTAGCCTATAAGTTGCCCCGGGTTACTAACTACCTACATACAAAATTTTATGTAAATCGGTCCAGTGGTTTTTGCGTGAATCCGGAATACACAGACAGACAGACAGACAAAAATTCTAAAAACCACTGATTTGGCTTGAGAACCCTTTATTTAGTCCCCTGGACTTGTTTTTTCAAGAATGTATTAGAATTACAGATACGACTTTTCTACAGATTTATATAGATTTGATGTTTTTTAAAAAATAAAACAATGTATACATATTTTTGTACATTTAATTGATAAATATATATTTCACTGTTTTTTTGAAATGGATAAGATTAGTATAAAATTGTCTCACAGGATTTTTAGGGTCTGTCTTTTTGGATTAGTAGAGTTATCTTATGTCTATGTATTATTCATTTGACACTCTTAGCTAAATCATTGACATGATTACAACTTTCGTGATCGAACTGGTGATTTTTTATTTCAGGAAAAATATCCTCATTAACAAAACTGCTTAATGTTTGTGTTACAAAACGCAATTTGTCTTTGTAACAGTCAGTACAAATAAAAGAAGGTAGAACTAAACACACAAATTTTATTTTATACTCGAATAACAATTTGAGTAGAGTTTCGTTTTATTACGAGCGGTAGTGTGATCACTGAATACAAAATTGAGCTCGTAAGACACTATATAGCACTACCCCACACCAGAGGCATCCGGTGGTTAGAGTGGTAGCTTTGGCTTGGCTTGGCTAGGATTGGCTGGCTGGAATGGTGCGCTGTGATTGCCTAGAAGAACTAAACCCCCTTTTTTTATAGACACGGCTTGTTTTGCGTTTCTTGTCAAAGTTACGTTTCATCCTATCACTCGCTAGTTTTAACTGCTTATTAGCTTTGTTACGCCTGACCTCCACTGGCTCACTAACACTTTCATTGCTAACGATGTCACAACGTGGCCTGGAGTTTTTGGAAAACATCAAATCATAAGATCTGTAGGTTGTACTTAAATTCGCGGTATTATTAATACCCCAGAGAATATCAGGTAAGCTGTTCGCCCAGTTATTTGCAGCCTCGCTAGGATCTGTTGCACGCAAGACATCCAATATGGTACGGTTAGTGCGTTCCACTTGACCATTCGCTCGCGGGCATGCGACGGAGGTTAAGATATGCCTGAACTGTTTATCTGATGAGAACTTTTTGAATTATCTACTGGTAAAAGCCTTCCCGTGGTCACTTACAACTACCGAATAAGCTGAATATTTTTCTAATATTTTCCACGGAATTGACCGTTCGAGTTGGCTCAGCAATAACAAATTTAGAAAAGGAATCTGTTATAACCAGCATATACTGATAGCCTTTAGCTGTCTTGCAAAACGAGCCCAAGTGGTCGACATGAATCATGATCATGGGCTCTGTGGGTTTGGGAATAGGGAACAATTTTCCCTCTTTCTTTCCATGATCACTCTTACCATAAGCACAATGAAGGCAAGCAGTAACATACTGTTGCGCGCTACTATTAATGTCTTGTACATGGCAACACTAGTTACCACTAGGGCCCTCTAGTATCGAGTAGCCGAACTAGGAGAGTCAAGATCCTTCTAGAAATTTCGATATGTACTTGAATATTCTAGATGTTTCTACAGTCGAAGCTTCTGGAAACTATCTGAGGCCCTATATAAGGGCGGTATAGACCACGACCGAGTCAGTATTAAATTGTCGATACAAGCGAACGCTTGTAACAATTGGAGTCAGAAGTGGGATCAAATCATGCCGATTTTACTAAAGAACGACATGGTGGGTATCCGTACCCGAAGTCAACGTCAGCTGGAGACGGACCAGAGACGATTTGGTAATGCAACGCCGCAAACATTGGAGGGCCAGCTGTTGACCACGGTGGGCGGCCTGTCAGCAGCTCCTGCATCTGCAGCACCTGACTTAGGTGCTCTGATGATGATGCTGCAGGAGCAGGCTCACTGACATGAGGAACAGGCCCGCCGACAAGAGGAACAGTCCCGCCGACAGGAGGAACAGGCCCGCCGGCAGGAGGAACAGGCCCGTCGGTTGGAAGAGCAGCTGCAGCGTAGATAGGAGGAACAATGCCGTTGTTTAGAAGAGCAGCTCAAACGCGATAAGGAAGAGCAGATGCTCCTCATGAAGGACCTTCACGCTACCTTCGGGAGAGAGATAAAGGAGGTGAAGGATAGGTGACGATTACAACCGCCTGTCGGAAGCTGAAACCTGAATCGACCAAGTGTACAATCGGGTTGACAACGTGATAGCTGACGTGAAGAAAACGCTGGACGACCTCAAACTTGGGGATGGAGTTACAGCTCCCGTGGTAGCTACAACACCTTCGCTACGTGGATTCAAAGTGCCGCCGTTCAACGGGACTTCTTCCTGGTCGGCCTACAAAATCCAGTTCGAGGCTGTCATGAAGGCGAACGGCTGGAATAAAAGTCAGGCCATGGCATTGGGGGCGAGATATGGTGACGCTCACCTGGAACACGTCTTTCGTGCGTAGCTCAAAGATCGCGTGCAACGCAGCAACGAAAATCTGCAGCAGTGGGCCCTTGAGGTGAAGAAGCTGGTTCGAAAAGCATACCAGTCTGTACTTGCGCTCATTGTAGGGAACCTGGTGCAGACATTCATCGACGGCATTCGCGACCTTGAAGTCAGAGCTGCTGTGAGGCTCGGGTACCACGAAAAGCTTAAGGAAGCGTTGGCCCATGCACTGAACAGCTTTGACAGCAGGGAAACGAGTAAAAGCCAGGATTGCGGGGCGGGTGCTTGCTGATGTTAAAAGAGCCCCAAGAATTTCGATCTCACAAACCCATGATGGGAACAGCATAATCATCAAGGGCGAGGTCAACGGAACGCCGTGTAAACTGACCATACACACTGGAGGCTCTCGCACGGTTGTCAGTTCCCAACTTATAAGTCAGTTCCTTAGGGACTCCGCATACAACCGAGAACGTATTAATTTGGTGACAGCCAACGATCAGCGCATACCCGTACGTGGAGAGAAGGTGATGGAGTTGAAGCTAGGCAACATGATTTACCTGCATAATGTCATCGTGGCTTATATAATGGACGACTGCATCCTGGACCTAGACTTTGTGAGGAAGAATTGTTCTGAGATCGACTTAAGCAAGGTGTTTTGAAATGTGGACAAGAGGAACTTTTCGTGGAAGGGGCGTTACCAGGGAATGTGTACAGCCTTAAGAAGATTGTTTTTCTGCCGAGGTCGGAAACGATTGTGCCGGTTAGTCTTCCACACTCTCGTTTGTCCATCCTTGCTGGGGGTCCCAGTCGATAGATATTCGCACCGACGCAACCAATCCACTTCCTCACTAGTACCAACCAATGTGCCTTTTTCTATAATCTGTTCCTGATCACAAAGGTTCAACACACGTACTCCTGAGATGTCGGTGGTTCTGACCAAGGTTCGAGCCACTTTCCATGGAAGGTCATTGTCTACCGCATAGGCAAGCTCATTGTCTACCGCATAGGCAAGCTCATCGTTGTGTACTCGTGGAAAACGAGTACACAACGATGAGCTTGCCCAGGACTCCGAGGAAGACTAACCGGAACAATCGTTTCCGATCTCGGCGGAAAAACAATCTTCTTAAGGCTGTACACATTCCCTGGTAACGCCCCTTCCACGAAAAGTTCCTCCACATTTATAAACACCTTGCTTAACGTCGATCTCACAACAATTCTTCCTCATAAAGTCTAGGCCCAGGATGCAGTTGTCCATTATATCAGCCACGATGACATTATGCAGGTAGATCATGTTGCCTAGCTTCAATTCCATCTCCTTCTCTCCACGGACGGGTATGCGCTGACGGGTGGCTGTCACCCAATTAATGCGTTCGCGGTTGTATGCGGAGTCCCCAAGAAACTGATTTATAAGTTGGGAACTGACAACCGTGCCACGGCTTTCCGTTGACCTCGCCCTTGATGATCAGGCTGTTTCCATCACGGGTTTGTGAGATCGAAATCCTTGGGGCTCTTTTAACATCAGCCAGCACCCGCCAGTTTCCCTGCTGCTGCTGGGCGGTGCTGTCAGCCACACTACCCTCTCGAGATCGATCACCACCTACAGTTCGTTTAGGGCAGCTGGATCGAAGATAGCCCCTTTCCCCACAGCCGTAGCACCTAGGGCTGTAGCCCTTATTGCGGTCCTGAACTGTAGCTGCTGCAACCTCCCTGACGCGGTGGGAACGATGATCCTGCCGCACGGCTTCCACCTCCAGTGCATGGGTCAAGGCGTCCTTAAGCATCTCGTGGTGCCCGAGCCTCACAACAGCTCTGACTTCAAGGTCGCGGATGCCGTCGATGAATGTCTGCACCAGGTTCCCTACAATGAGCGCAGGTACAGACTGGTACGCTTTTCGAACCAGCTTCTCCACCTCAAGGGCCCACTGCTGCAGGTTTTCGTTACTGCGTTGCACGCGATCTTTGAGCTGCGCACGAAAGACGTGTTCCAGATGAGCATCGCCATATCTCGCCTCCAATGCCTCAAGGAGCTGCTCGTAAGTCATATCCTTACCGAGAGCTTCCAGAACAGTTAAGGCCTGGTCGCGTAGGCCTAGGGTGAGAGCAGTTATGGCCTGACTTTTATTCCAGCCGTTCGCTTTCATGACAGCCGCGAACTGGATTTTGTAGGCCGACCAGGAAAAACTCCTGTCGAACGGTGGCACTTTGAATCCACGTAGCGAAGGTGTTGTAGCTACCACGGGAGCTGTAACTCCATCCCCAATTTTGAGGTCGTTCAGCATTTTCTTCACGTCAACCATCACGTTGTCAACCCGATTTTTCACTTGGTCGATTCGGGTTTCAGCTTCCGACAGGCGGTTGTCATGTTGAGCAACCCTATCTTTCACCTCCTTTATCTCTTTCCCGAAGGTAGCGTGAAGGTCCTTCATGAGAAGAAACTGCTCTTCCAACCGACGGCCCTGTTCCTCCTGTTGGCGGGCCTGTTCCTCCTGTCCGCGCTGCAGCTGTTCTTCCAACCGACGGGCCTGTTCCTCCTGTTGGCCGGCCTGTTCCTCTTGTTGGCGGGCCTGTTCCTCCTGTCCGCGCTGCAGCTGCTCTTTCAACCGATGGGCCTGTTCCTCCTGTCGGCGAGCCTGTTCCTGCAGCATCATCATCAGAGCACCTAAGTCAGGTGCTGCAGATGCAGGAGCTGATGACCGACCGGCCTCCGTGGTCAGCAGCTGGCCCTCCGATGTTTGCGGCGTTGTATTACCAAATCGTCTCTGGTCCGTCTCCAACTGGCGTTGACTTCGAGTACGGATACCCTCCATGCCGTCCTTTGGTAAAATCGGCATGATTTAATTTCACTTCCGACGAGCTTGGGATTCGAGATAATTAAAAACTTCCGAGTGAATTACCAAAATTGCCTATTTAATTACACAACACTAATTACACCTTAAAACACACTAATAATAAAACAGTTTTAATAAACAGTTCTCTTCGAAGTATTCTCTTGTATCGCCAATTCAATACTGCCACGGTCGTGGTCTATACCGGCCTTATATAGGGCCTCAGATAGTTTCCAGAACCTCCTACTGTAGCGACATCTAGAATGTTTGAGTACATATCGGTCCTGAAATTTCTAGAAGGATCTCGACTCTCCTAGTTCTGCTACTCGACACTAGAGGGCGCTAGTGTAACTAGTGTTGCCATGTACAAGACATTAATAGTGGCGCGCAACAATATATAAGGACAGCGCTGGTTCTTTATCAAATCGTTAAATAAAAATTTTGCATCATTAATTTTTTTATCTTTTTGTTCATTACGTTGGCTAATTCGATGATTCTTCTACAAAGATGTTTTTAACTGGAGTATCAAATGCAGATGGCGTATCAAGTATAGGATAAAATTTTCTTTTTGTTTTGTAGGCGTTTCTAAGCAATGGCTCTGATTTTTATGTGTTGGCGGGTGTTTTGCTTCTTTCAGCGGTGAACCAGTAATCTGAAATACGTATTCGTTTCTTTTAAAATATTACCAATAATTAATAATAATAATAAATAGGCGTAGGGAAGTGACGACCCCATCGCCCGCTGACGTAACAGTTACGTGACAAAACTGCTACGTCAGCGCAGTCAGTCAGCGCCCTTCCAAGCGGTGTTAGCGCCGTACCTCGGCAGAATTGAGGGTGCAAAATCCCGTTTGTGCATATGGCCCCATCATGGAACGGCGCCGGGTCTGGACGTCTCCCGTTAACTGAAGCCCATAAAATGGATGATGGCATAAAGAGAAACGCGCATAGGGCCGCTGCCTGTGGGTCGCCAGGGCGCGTCTGGAGCTGGCGCTGGACTCGACAGCATGCGGGCCGCCAGCGGAGCGCGAGGTGCTTTACGACCACCTAGCTGCCCCTCACATCCATCATCCCCACCAGATGGCTTGGTGTTGGCAGGGTCCTCTCAGACTCGGCAAGCGGCACCCGCCGCTGGTGGAGAACGCCGCATGCGTTGGAATAAAAACGTGAACACAAACGCATTGTGGGCGTACTATAGGCCGAAAGGGGAAGAAATTGGAGGGATAGCGTATTGGGCTTGGATGCATCGCTTTTTTGCTAAGCTGGAGCCGTCTGTTCCCGTCATAGAGCAAAACCTCCTCAAGCCACAGACCAGCAGCCACATGTAGAGGCCGCCATGGATCTTCCCGCTCTGGTTGATTCAGGCGATTTTGGAATGGTCATCCACGAACTAGAGCAGATGAGGAGTAAATTGGAGGAGGCGCTTGTGGAAACGCGCAGTACACCTCTCGAAAATCGACCGCGACTCCCGCGCATAACCATAAGCAAGTGGAATCGAGATTTCATGACGGCCCTGAACCCATTGTTACTTGGAAGCCAGTCGAGACCATTACGATAAGGACTCAATACTTTTTGGCGCCGCTTTGGCAGTTGGCCGCATTGTTGGTGCCAAACTTCCCACGTCTGGACGTGCCAAAGAACGTGGACATTTCAGCCTGGAGAAGAAGAATTGAGGACCGTATCGCAAAGGCGAGGGCCCTCACCGGCAGACTGATGAGCTTCAGGTCGGGCAATAATTGGCCGAGAATTGAGCGCACCACCAGGATGGCGTTTGCTGGGACAAATATCAGTTTGTTCCAGCCGGATATAACGCAAAAACTGACGGAGCGCATAAACGACCTGAAGCAGAGAATCGCTGCTTGGGGAAAGCGGATTCGGCGATATACCGAGAGGTCCACACGGTTCAACCAGAATCGTCTCTTCCAGAGTGATCAGAAGAGGCTCTATGAATCATTGGAGCGGCCAATGGTACGTGGAACGGGCCCAGCACCCAATCAGGCCAACACTGTCGCATTCTGGCGCGGCTTGTTGTTAGAGCCCGTAAACCACAGCGAGGGCCCTTGGACAGAAGTTGTGGCGAGTCAGTGTACGAATATTACGCCTATTGACCCCGTCATCATAACGCCGGATGACGTAGCTGGGGCGGTCCGTAGGGCCCCGAACTGGAAAAGTCCGTGACTCGACGGACTGCATCACTACTGGCTGAAGGGGTTCGTGGTGTGTCACCCTGTGCTCGCCCGACAGTTTCAAGAGGCTCTCGACCAAACGTCACTCCCGAGCGTCTTCACTACTGGGATCACTCATTTGATTCCTAAAGACCGGGATTCCACAGACCCGAGTAAATACCGCCCAAATCGGCATAAGCATTTTGTATGGCATAACCAGTCCAGCGTACTTGTATATACAGTCAGAGGTCAGTGCGTAGCTATGTAACCAAGGGCCCCGGGGCAAAAATGAAATTTGGGCCCTATTTAAACTAAACTAAATACTTTAAAGGTGCAAAACTACTTCATTATCAGCTCCTTGTCGCCCACTGCAGGGCATAATAAAGCAAAGCTACTTACTACTAAGTATTATGTGTAACGCATAAATAATTAGGAAGTAGATTACAGTTAATAATATAGGCAGATAACATAACAGTGGAAGAGCCACTTTTGCCGTCACACGGGTGGGCAAGACTAGATGAAGTGACGGCCTGGTAAGCCACGAAGAGCTGAAATAAATGGGTGGACCGGTTCAAATCAAGGAGGTACCACGACCTCACAGATAAGCAGCGTGAATTAGAAGTTTACTTCGCCTGGTAATTGCAGGTGATCGGAGGCCTAACCCCTCTCCCCCTTTACATGGTAGTGTAAATAAGGAACCATCCCAGGAGGGTACCAACACCCCTGGTATTGGAGAATCCCTGGCTGAGCATCCACGCCCAAGCTACCCTACTCTTCCTTAGCGCGGGTGCTCATATTGCCTTGCGTATTCAGGGGAGTGGGGGGCGAAATTCCACTCAAGACTAATACTGCTCGTTTCAAGTAGAGCAATAACACAAAGGTGACGCCTGCCACGCTATCCGTGAATTTCTGCAACATCAGGGGAATTCATTCAAATGTTAATGAAGTCCACTAGGTACCATCTGAAGACGGCGAAGCCGACCTTGCTCTTTCTAACCGAGATGCAGGTGTCCTTTCCGGTCGATACTTCTCTCCTATCTAAGGTACAAATTAGAACACATTTGTGCCTCGGGCTGTAGTTTACGTATACGTCAGAAAGGACCTCTGTTCTCGACGCCTCGGCAGTCTTGAAGGTCAACGACGACCATCCTCGCGCCTACGGGTGACTATATAGGTAATGCCGGCACCGACCAACTCATCGACCATGTTCAAATCGCTGCAGATTCCGTGCTACAACAGGTCCCATGTGCATAGATCTTGATCCTTGGGGATTTTAAAGGCCACCACTCTGAATGGCTTGGTTCTCGTTTAACCGACCACTCGGGAAGATCTGTTTTTGACTCTGCCTCAGCAAATAGTCCGATACCAATACTTACTTCGCCTACGCGGAATCTAGATGTGGAGGATCGTGCACCTTCCCTGTAGGACCTTCAGCTGACCTCTCATCCGGACGGATATCAGGTCTCCGTCGATGCCCCTCTTGGCTCATTAGACCATTGTCTGATCCGGACTATGGTGCCACTCACATTCCCATCGCAGTTGCGTTCTGCCGATCGCCGCCGTGTTTGGCATTATAAGCCGGCCGATTGGGACAGGATGCAGTCTTTTTTTGCATCCTTCCATTGAGGCCAGGGGCGGGTATGCTTCTCACCGGATTATCTCAACGTGATTCTGTCGCTGATGTGGTACTTCAGGAAATGGAACTATTTATTCTATCATCTGTGGTGCCTAGTTTGGTCGCTCCTCTAAAATTGCATCGCGCTATGATAGGAGTGCTTCACCAGCGCTGTTAAAAAGAAGTATAATTTAACCTTCAGTTTACATAGCGCTTGGTGCTACGCATCTTTCGAAGCTCTCTTCCTATGGGCTTCCCGAGAATTTGTGCAACTGGATCAGCAGTTTTCTTGCAGATTGGAGCAACAAAACCGTAGTAGAAAGTGCATGCTCCATTTACAAGCCTGTGTTCCACAAGGCTACGTGCTATTACCTAGGCTGTTTCTTCTGCTTATCAAAAACATGTTGCAAGCCAGTAACATGAACTGCTGTTGCTTTATACACTGTGTCTATATTTCTTGAGAAAACGTTGCCGAGTACCGGAACAAACTTGTGTCTAAAGTCGAGTCTTTGCCGGATAAGGTCTCGGATTGGCGCGATAAAATCTAATTAAGTTCAATGCCCAGAAGATACAAGTTTGCGCTTTTAGCACTAAAAAGAACTCCTTTGTCGTAACTCCTCAATTTCAGGGCATTCCCCTTGTTATCTCAGTCAGTATCGGAATCTTCGGCGTTGACATATCGAATAACGAATAATCCCTTCAAGAAAAGAGCCTACTCCTTTTTAAAAGGCCAGCAACGCGTCTGAAATTCCCCTGGTGTTGCAGTTGTTCATAGTGAGCCGCATTTTTTTTTATAGGATCGGGTGACAAACTAGCACACAGTCCACCTGATGGTAAGTGGTTAATGTGACCCATAGACATCTACATCTATCCTCAATAAAGACTCAAGATGCAGATGCGTTGTCACCCGTGAGGACTAAGATGGAATGCCTCTTTGCCAGTAAAAAGGGTCTCCAGTTCTCTACACTCACCATACGAAACACAGCAGTATTAAGCTGCTATTTTACGCTGGTTTTCTGTGAGCCGCATGCTCGTTTGCCCCCTCTCCTATAAAAAAAGTGCAGTTTCGTGGTCACTTGGAAGGGAAGGCTGAATTTACCTCTGAAAATCTTGGCGTGCTTAGCAGAGCGGGACAGTATTTTATGCTGGCAGAACAATGGCAGACTTTCATACATAAAATTAGTTGGGAAGGAATGGTAGCGT